AAATTAACCTTTCTGAAGAAAAATTGCTAGTAAATAAATTAGTTTTTGTTTTAGTTTTCACACATGTTTTATACCCTGCACAGCACAAAGTACATTTTTAAAACGTTGCAAATCCCTACAATATATTGTATTGTTCCAACTGTAAGCCAATCCAGCGTATAAGTCAACCCTACGGTTTCAGGTTAAATTTTAAGAAAATTAGGTTTTTGCCATAAACAGAAGCCAATGACTATGGATAAAAACTTTGCCCGTCTACTGACCTTATACAGTCCCACTAGAGAATCAAATAACAAAGAACCATAAGGGCTTAATGCCCTAAAAACACTAAAAATAAAAACTGCACCAAAAAAAAGTTTTTGGCTTGATATTTTATTGCATACAAAGAAATGAAAGGTCAAAACTGGAAGGGGCTAAATTTCAAGTTGATCTCACATATAAAGTTTAGCACAATTTGTATGGAAATTGAACAATTTCGATCGTTCTTGGGAAGGGAAAACATAGGCTTATAATCAGAACAGTACAGCCTTGGATCTGAACTACAATGTATCCTATTTCTAGATCCACTTTCTGCTTACTAATCCAATTCCTCCAACATTTATGCTATTATCCCAAGTCCTTGAGGTGTTTCATCTACTGTGCCTGTGTGCGTGCATGCATGCATGCATGCAGTTGGAGGGGGATGGCAGAGGAGAATACTTAAAACCCTTCCTCCTAAAAACATCCTACCTGCAGAAAGCCTATTGAAACAAACACCACACAGTCCTCACCCAGCAGTTTATTCGATTCATTAGAAACAGAAAAACCCAAGAGATTTAATACCGGATTTCATGGAAGCTCAGCATACAAAATCCAGTCTTTAGACACATTTGGAAAGGAAAAAATCCCTTGCTTTTCAAAGTGATCCTATATTTGTTTCCAATACAGACACCATTTGAGAAACCAGTGATTTAAAGACTTAGTTATGATAAAATTATTATACAGTATTTTAGAGGCTTTTCCCAAGTCCCGTTGTACAACAGAACTCTATGAAAATAAGGCACATGGACTTTACAAGCAGAGTTCCTATTTTTATATACATTTTCTAAAATACTTTTGCTGCAACTCCTCCTGCATGTATAGTACACAAGATGGTATTAAAGGCTGTATAAAACTTGCATGAAACAATCTGCATAGATTTACTTGGTATTTCAGTCTATGAGAACTGTAAACCCAAATGCATGCCAAACACTTCCCAAAACCAGTCACATAGTCCACATTACAATGATCATAGCACCAATGCCACACACACACACACACACAGAAATTTGAATCCCACTGAAAATCAGAAGTTTAACCTTGTCTAATGAGAGCAAGAGTTCACTTTTTATCTTTATGCTCATTAACACACACACACCCCCTAGCCATTTGACACTATATTTTTAAAAGAGAACAAATTTCCTTTATTTAAGAATTAATAAAAGGTTTCAACTATCTTATAAAATAAAAAAGAATAGCTTCACATAAACAGCTTAACAACTTTAAAATAAATAATTACTAAATATTATACCATGGAAATCCTAACATGTACATGCAAACTATGTAACCTCTAATGCATTCTTTTAATTGATAAATGAAAAAATATCATAAAACGAGTCATTAAAATACATCTTAATTAATGTTTCTATAAAATAAGTAAAGAGAAAAATTATTTTTCAGAACTGTCCAATTTTCCACTTTAAAAGGAAAACTAGAATATAAATATAAATCGTAGGGGTGAACCAATATAGATTTTTTGGGCCAATACTGATGGCTGATTATTAACAAGCCATATCGGGCAACAAACACTGATCTGATTGCTGATACGCAGCCTGGCAGCTTGGAGTGCAGTGTCCGGCTAGTAAGTTTGTTGCGGGGGGAGGGGAGGGAAGATGATATAGGCCCCTGCAGCGAGGGAGGGTGTAGGCGGAGCCATGAATGGCTTGTCCAGGGGGTACGGGGAGGGGGAGAATGGTGCATGCACCCTGGAGAGCCATGGGGGACACATGCCCCACTGGATCTGTACACGGGGCGATGGAGGGCTAACACTGTGGGTTGCAGTGGGGAACAGTGCCGGACTCTTCCCAGTGGGGGGGCATGTGGAGGGAGCTGGGTCAGGTACATGCTCAGTGCGGGCAGCAGTGGCACTGGGAGAGGGGGCTACAGGATGGTAGTTCCCCCTCCCAGAAACTGCCACCACTGCCCACCCTGAGCACAGCCCCAGACCACCCCCGCCCCCTGCCAGAAAGAGTCCAGCACCACCCCCTGGCCCCAGCCCACCTTTACCCCATGCACAGATCTGTGGGGCACATGCCCCCATGACTCCCCAGGGTCCATGCAGTGGTGGGAGCCACCCTCTGCTCTCCCCCCAGAAGGAGCCACTCACAGCTCCATCCCAAGCCCAGCTCCAGCCCCACTCCCTCCTTCACCACAGGGGCCTTGATCACCCCTCCACCCCAAGTAGACTTAACAGCCAGATGCTTCTCTCCAAACTGGTGGGCTGTGCGACTGCACCTGCATGCGGCATTTATCAGCAACATTATCGCCACATCAGCCAAAAAAAGCTAAATGCAGATAATGTCAATTTTCCTTTCATCAGTGCCAACACGATATTGACCAATGTATCGGTGCACCTCCAATAAATCATCCTAACCTTTACTACAATTTTTCTTTTTTTCATAGCTTCAAAGAAAAATTGTGTGGCAGTTTTACTACAAGGCACAATCCTAATTAATTATCAGTAAAATAATATGAATGGATACCTACAAAAAAGCTTATACCTAGTTTGCTGTCAAACCCTCAGGCCCCCTCTACATGTCACAGGTATCGCACAATTAACTGGTTAACTGAACAATTACCTTGAGACCAGCTACATGTGCAAAGTACATATTACATATTAAAAAGCTCCAACCAGCCATAAAGTTGGACACTGAAAAATTTCTGTTATATTAAGAATACATGCCCAATAATTTGCAGTTCTAAAAGCCCCAAATTGAGCAACTAAGAATACTAGTTTCTGAAGCTAAATAAAACCTCACAGAAATTTTATATCTAACCCACCTCTAAGTGGGTTAAACATTTTTTTGTAGCAGAAGAGAGGGGCAAATCAGAGTGATATGAACTGCAGGAACGTTTCTGTTGTACCTTCCTCTTAATTTCAGATTCTGATTCTGATCCAGACTCTTCTGTGCTCTCCATAAGACTTCCTAAAAATAAAAACAGAATATATATATATATATATGCATGCAGACATGTATACACACATGCATGCATGTATACACACAAAACCAAAAACACACCGTCTTGCAACGGAAGAGCATGATAAATTTATAAAAGGTTATTTCAGACATACCTGGCTTATGAAGTAAAATTAAAGAACACTGTAAGCCACAGGCATAACAAACAATTAGGTTTTACCTATGCTGAGAAATATGTACCAAATCTGCTAAATAATAAAAATGCACAAAGAGAAATAATGTTAATAATTCTGGTTTTAAAAATGCCCGTCACTATTTCTAGATCCCATTGCATGAATTGGATCTGCATTTTAACGCTACTTCCTAGCAGGCAACCTAGATCTTTAAAATACTGCGTCAACTTCACTCCACCAAAAATCAAATCTTTAGTAGTGGAAAGTCCGCTAGGGGATAAGCCCAGATTTACAGTGTGTTCAGAAGCTCTTCATTTTAAAAATGCTTTGCATAACATTGTGAAAACAGTTATTTAATAAAAAAAAGTGTTCAATTTACTCTAATAACCATTCATTAACATTTTATGTTGAATTTTAAAAAGCATTTGATGTTGGAACTTTCTTTTAAAAGTTAAATTACCTAAAATAATAAAAAAGGAAAAGCTATGTTAATATAGTATTCATAAATAACAGAAGTATGTACTGACTTTCCCAACTTTTCTGTGATTCTTTTTAAGGTTATATTCCTGCTTGAAATTTATGCTACAAAGTTCAGTTAATGCCAGCATTAAATGAGATATCCAGAAGAATGAATAAGTTAAACAGCTGACCTTAGAGTTTCCCCCAACCACATGTGGATTCCTATCAAGAAAACTCAATACTTCCAATGACTCATTCCCTCCAGCACATTCATCTTCCCTCCAGCCATGATATAACAGTAATTTCCTCTAGTTCTCAGGTCTTGACAAAAAATGTGCACCCACCTTTGGATATTAAGATTATTATATTTTAGTCATTATATAATTTTCATGCGTACCATTCTCTACTGTGTCCCAAATAAATGTCACCCTTGAAGTGCTATCAACCTTGTGATCCACAAAATGGCATCAAGCAAAGGTCTTGTAATTAAGAAACTAGAACACGAATGAGATCAGGAATCTAATCTTAAATTTCCTTACAGATTTTCTATGTGAATTTTGACAAATCATTTAATCTGTCTCAGTTTTCTGATCTGTGAAGTTAAAACGGATGCTTTACAACTATACACGAGTGGTATGAGGTTATTAGTTTCAGTTCCATGATGATAATCACCTATAACTTGTAAAGATATTAATGTGATTTGTGAGTGGCTTACGTATAAATGCGTTCACATTTTGACATATGACATGTACATATGAAAGTACCATTTCAAAACACTTCAGCTACCTTTTCTTAATGTCACTTCAACTCACCTTTTAAAAATTATGATCCATATTGAAAATCACTATAAGCATACCATGCATTGAGTGAGCACACCCCCGCTTCCCTGAAGCAAACCACAGTAGCAAGACAAAAAAATCAAAAGTTTTCTGGTTTAAAATAAATGAAATCTTACCCATTGGTCGAGACTGAGGTGATCTTATGAGGTCAGTTTCTATTTTATGAAGCTGAGGAGGGTATTCTTTTCTGGAAAAGATATTTAATATAGTCGTATTCTTGACAGAATTTGTAAGTGCATTTTGACATTTATATTTTAGGTTTTTTGATAATACATAACTATTTTAGAAAAGTCTGTACATAAACAAAGAAAGTCAATAGCTTTTCTTGTTATATATCGCACATGCATTAAAATATTTTTTCAATCTAATATTCTAAGCAGGTTCAAATGAATAACCTGCAGGCAGCTGTCAACATGCTAAATGCAGCTATTACAAAAGTCATCCAAATGTTTCCAATTTAAATCCCTGTTTTCCTGTTGCTAAAACTTAAGCATCTTTCCTTTAAGGATGAAATCTTCCAGACCCATCCTGGATATCCCTCTTTTTCCTTCCTCACTAAAAAAAAAGTTTACAACTGGACCCATTTTTGATAACAGATGCAGTGCCCAAAATGTTTTCCCAATTAGAAAGACATTCTACTACTTCCCTGACGCAATTTGGTGCCAAATATGGCATAACAACAATTCCTGTTTTCTTGTTAAAAATATTTTGATTTGGAGGTAACGAAAACTATACTTGGTCTGTATTTAAATTATATATGTATTTTAAATACAGACCAATTAACTCATACATATGGCGTGTATGCATCTCTCACATAATTTAACAACTCTGCAGTCTCCTGAAGGCCTGCAAATGACATATGAAACTTCCCCATTTTGGTGCCAAGTAAAAACCTGACTGATGCTTACTTTCCATTAATTTCTAATCAGTTATAAGGCATGGATAGCTGATGCTTTATAGGTTCTGTTCACTGCAATTTTCTACAAACTTCTGAACCTAAACTTCGGTCTAAAAACTCTTGGTCTCATGAAAAAGTAAACATCAGTCTACAGACGTTGCACCACAGTAGCAATGAGGTACTGTGCCGTAACTTGTTGCTACCATGCAGTAGTACTACCAGGCACTAACCAAGATGTGATGCTACTGTGTAGCAGCTTGTTGCTACCATGCAGTAGCGTCGGAAAAAACCCCCATGCAGTGTGGTACTGCAATGCTGGTAACTGCGAAGTCCGCCACTCATGTAGATGCAGCCACAATATGCTATTCTAACTTCAACATTTCTTGACCTTAGACTATACCAGCAATTTACATCATTCACGTTTTGTGTAGTTTATATGTAGACTTGGGATGAGATGAATTCTTCTCTTTTAGGGTGACATCTCTCAAGGCATTAAATTATTACACCCCTTGAATTTTTATGTCGTCTTCAAAAAGTACCTGAAATTGGTTTGTGACTAACATTTGTCAGGGTTTCAAATATTTTATTGTTGTATGGCAGTGGTTCTCAACCTTTTTAGACTCAAGACACCCCTCCATAACTTTTCTGAATTTGGTGGCACCCTGGTTGAGAACCACTACGGCAAAGTCTCTGTTTACCTACTTTATCTCTAAGCTACTGTGCATCATGGCCAGACAACACCAACTACATGCGTCTGCTACCAGGAGACATATGTGGAGCCAGACCAGGAAGCTGCAGCAGCAGCACCAAGTGCTTCTGCCTACATTACATTTATAATGCAGGTCTGATTCAGCTCTGAATGCCACTCCTGGGAACAGAGCTGTGTAGGCTGATTCCATCTGCCCACAGAGACAGCACCTCGGCATCCTTCAGAGGCTCTCACAGCACCCCAGTTGGGAGCTACTGCTATATTATCTTTAAATCAACAACATTTATCTACCCTTTCAACATAATCTAGTCCTTCCAAACATACCAAACCACTATACCAATCCTTCTCACTTTATAGTTTTTGAAGGTGGTAGGATTATGCAAAAGGAAAAAGTTGAGAGCAATTAAGGTATATGATTTGTGAAAGGAGTTGCAAAATTATGATTTAATTTATTTTCATGTCAGGTAATGTTTCTATAAGTGACAAGATGAAAAGTAAGACATTTATAAGAAACGTAAAGTATGCAGTGTATAATTTTTACCAACAAAAGCCACAAGGTCAAAATAAGATTTACCACACATCAGAACTTTAAAAGGAAAAAATTCCTGTAAAGGGTTACAGTCATATTACTTAGCATCTCATTTGACATCTCATTATCTCTAATATTAATAGTAATAAATACTACAGTATATACAATACAGTATACAAGATCAGACACAGCACAAAGTCGTTTTGCTGTATGTGTACATACATATGCAAATAATCCCCTAACAAATCTTTTTATAGTTTTATTTCTTTTTTTAACATTCTTAAGCAGATGAAAATACAAAGTAAATATTGCGAATGAAAGAGCCAATTACCATAACTTGTTTAAACTGCTGATGCTATATTTGATTTTTTTTTTTTTATGGCAAGAAACTGGAGTTTGATAATCATATTTTGCTAAATAATAATTAAAAAAAAGTTGAACAAAAAATAATTCTAAACATGAAAAGTATACTACGGGTTCCTTAACTTAGTGCCTGGCACTATGCCAACACAAGATGTCGCTATACTTTTCAAATGCCAAGTTCACACCCATTTCAAATCCCAAGTTACCTACACATTTTAGTTATTTTCATATTTCATTTCATCTTCTGGAACTGGAAACAGTAACTGAGTTATCACATAGCAGTAAACCGAAGTAAATGAGCTGTGAAACAATCAATTCTAAAGGTAGCTAAAACCAAAAATATAAAAGAAACCCAACACTGCTAATTAGGCAGAAGCACCAGCTAGATTGCTGACTGCCCTCTTATACTGCAGAAAAAGAAGCAGTTTCAGCACCTTCCTTGTCTGTTTATATGAAGTCAATTGACTTGTGGGGAAATAAATTAGATCAGTCATCTTAATCTTCCAGAAAACCCTAAAGCCAACCCTGTATATCCAACCCTTACTGAACGCATACATGTGACAAGTAGAGGGAAAGGAGGAGTGAGCAAAACCAACACTGAACAAGCAAGCAAACAGGGACATATTTATATCATATTAGAACAAAGAAGAAGAATGCATTTCCCACATTTCTAACATCCATCAAAAATAAGACATCAGAGAACAGGTATTCTGAAGGTGTTCTGTTACCTCTTCTAGATTCAGTTTCAACTTTGACTTTATTTTACTCAGAAATGTAAAAACAGAGATTTTTTGAATAAACAAAAGTTACAAAGTATATCATAAAAACGCTTATCTGACACATGCACACTCACTCTCTCTCAATCATATGATAAACAGGGACTGGAAAGCCCACAACTAAAGGAGAAATAGAAGCTGTGACTTTATGCTGGGCTCCATTACACATAAGTATAAGGTTGGTAGTATAATGTAACAGAGGGCTTTTCTAGGGTTTTTTTAGATCTATAAAAACCCCTCTATTTGATTATACTAACAGCTTTATACTTATGCATAGCAGAGCTCAGCATAAAGTCACAGCTTCCATTTCTACATTAGCTGTGGGCTTTGTAGTCCCTGTTTATCATATGATTTAGTTAGTGTTATAAACATGTTAGTATCTCAATCTCTTCTGGCTGATCTACTCAGCTAAAGACAGTTGTGGCAGGGTCAGACGACAACCTGAGTCCATGATCTAAAATACAAATCAATACAGTTTTTATACACAAAATAATACTTAACTAGTTAACTAGTAATTTGGTGCTTCAAGAGTTCACACACCCCTCATTGCCATGGCTTTCCAAAGACAAAGTAGTGTTTCCAGAGCTATTTATTTCTTTAGCTAAATCAGTTCCTGACTTGTTCCATTACCTGTATGCCAACAATTCTAAATCCAAAGCATCTGTTCATTCATTAGTATAATGGTGGTAATGCTCAATTTCAAGCTGCTTCTAGCCTTCCATTTCCAATTAGTCTTTCCCGAAGAAAAGGAGATTTTAAAATGACTGCTTTTGTGTAAGATTTGAGACCTTCAGAAATAAATCCCGTGTTCAGACTAGAATTTTCACTGGTTGGCTAATTTAATTTGTTAATATGAGTTGAAATGGCAATAATGAAGAATAATAGCATAAATTCAACCCTACAGTATCTTAAAGCTTTTTAATGTGAGTTGTTAACCCAACTCAGAATCAGAACTGCTTAGTCTTCACTGATGTTTTAACTGGAGTTAAGATCACACAGCACTTTTTTTTTTTTTTTTTTTTGCAGTTTACTCTCAGGAAAATGGTATCTTGGGAATAGCAGCAGCTGTTGCATCAATTCAAAAAGCATGGCAGCTTTTGTTCTTGCTTTCAAATAAACCTTTAAGAACTTAAAATGTTTGCCATTCAGGAAATGGTGATTTGAAAAAATGGGGTATCAAGGACAGGTTAAATATAGGTATTGGCAAAAGCAAGTCTGCACCTTGTAAGAGCAAGTACTGAGAGACTGAGGCAAGGGACAGAAGTTACACATACACTGGTTTAAGTGATTAGACACTAGTTTAAACTTGTAACAGACCATAAATTAAGTTCACATAAACCAGTTTCAACATGGCCGAAACTAGTTTAAGATGAACCTGGTTGAATGTAGTATCAGACTTAACTGATCTGGGTCAAACTGATTTATGCAACTTCTGTCCCAGACCCTTCCCAGACCCTTTCCTTGTTTAAGTTAAACCAGAGTCCTCCAGCATCCCAGCATGCTCTCTGGGCTGGGCTGAGCTCTCTGCTCCAGAGAGGAGGGCTGGCCCCACCCCTCTGCTCTCTAGCCTGAGCAGGGGTGGGGACATGGCGAGACACTGGCCAGCATGGCACTGTTAAGGAAAAATGGGAAGAGAAGGAGTTGATTCTTCCCTCCTTTCCCCACCAACTGTAGCCGGGCGTCTGTCTGCTGGGGAGTGGCAGAGGGGGCAGCCAGGACTGGCAGACCCTGGCTGTGGGGCTAAAGGGACAGAGGGAGGAATTAGTCCTTTTCCTGCCCCCTGCACCTTAACAGGGCCATGCTAGGATGGAGTCTGGCCACATCCCATCACTGGAGCAGCAAGGGGAGGGGCAGCAGCCTCTTGACAGAGTGCCCAGGAGGGGGTTTATTCCCTCCTCCCTTCCCTGTTCCA